ACCAGTCTGAATGCCAGCCGCTACCAAATGGGGCAACTTCTTCATCTGGTTCGCGTCGAACTTCGAGAATATGCTGGTGGCCATCAATGGCTTTCACATAGGGGTCGTTGCCGTGCTCGCCAAAACAGCGAGTGAACCGCTCCAACTGGTCATGTTCGAGTGGCTGATTTGGTAGATAGATTACCTGGTGGTCGAGCCAGGCCTGCCTGAGGGCCGCAACCTCATCCTGATTCAGTCCGGCGGCCAGATTCAGACCTTCAACGCAAGCACCGAAGTTGTTGGCATGAGGGGTGATGGTGAGTTGGGTCACATGCTGTTCCAGTTAACTTGCAGAACAAATAGAGTAGCAACAGCGACCACAGCACCGATCACAAGAATGGTCAGAAACACGGCTGCGCCGTCTTCCTGTTCACCGTGTGGGTGCTGGCGTCGCCGCGATACGGCGAAAATGACAGCGAGAAATATGAGAGCTGGAATGGCAAACTGTATCAGGTAGCGCAAGAGGGGTTTATCCTTATCGCTGGGTCGATTTGCAGCATAACCATGGAGACCGGCAAAAGTCTACTTGTGGAAAACGCGCAGATCTGTGGGATTGATTGGGGAGATTTATGGAGTGGATGCAGCAGCACTGGCTGGCTGTGGTATTGCTGGCCGGTTATACCGCAATGCTCCTCTATAACGCCTACCTTGGCAATCGTGCCAGTGAGAGCCTGGACGGCTATTACGTCGGTGGCCGGAATATGGGCGGAGTGGTCATCGGGGTCTCTTTTTTTGCCACTTTCGCATCTACCAACAGCTACATTGGCCACGCCGGCAAAGGCTACGCTTATGGCCTGCCGTGGCTGGTGATGGCGCTCGCGCTGGTTGTATTCACCTGGGTGTCCTGGCGCTGGGTGGGACCAAAATTGCGGCGGTTTGCCAGCCAGTGGGATGCACTGACGATTCCCGACTATCTGGGCAGCCGATTCCTGCCACCGGAGCAGGATCGCAGTAACCACCCGTTACGGGCGGTGGCTGCGCTGGTCATAGTTTTTTCCAGCCTGCTGTACCTGATTGCGATTTTCAAAGGCGCCGGACACCTGTTCCAGATGTTCCTCGGTGTACCTTATGAAACAGCGGTGGGTATTACTCTGATCATAGTCATGCTGTACACCTCAATAGGGGGGTTTGTCTCCGTGGTACGCACCGACGTGGTGCAGGGGCTGTTGATGGTGCTGGGCTCGATGACTATTTTCTATTTTGTGACCCGAGCGGCGGGTGGTGTGGGTGCGATAACCCAGTTGCCTGCGATGCCGGACAAAGAGTTTCTGTTCGAGCTGAACGGCGGCATTCCGTTTCTGGTGTTGTTGGGTATTTCTTTATCCGGCTCGTTAAAGCTGCTGGTGGATCCGCGTCAGATATCAAGGTTCTACGCGTTACGTGATGATCGTGCGGTAAAGCAGGGCGTCTGGGTCGCGGTGATTGGTCTGGCGCTGGTGCAGTTCTGTATTTTTCCGGTTGGGGTTTACGCGCACCTGATAATGTCTGGCGTCACAGATACAGATCTGATTGTGCCCACGCTTGTTAGTGACCCCAACGTATTTCCTCTGTGGGCAGCTGATTTTCTGATTGTTGCCATTGTTGCTGCTGCCATGTCATCTATGGACAGCGTGCTGCTGGTTGCGGCATCAACACTGTATAAGAATCTGATTGAGCCGTTGCGCCCGTCTATCCGTCAAGTGGCCTGGACGCGTGGTTCGGTTATCGGTTTTGCCGTGGTGGCTGCGGCGCTTGCGCTGAATCCACCCGGCGATATTGTCGAGATCACCATATTTTCTGGTTCTTTGTATGCGGTGTGTTTCTTTCCAGCGGTAGTCATGGGCCTGCACTGGCACAAAGGCTCCGCAGCCGCGGTATTGTTGTCTATGGTTGGCGGGGTGACAGTTTTGATTGCCTGGATAGGGTTCGGTTTCCGAGGTGGGCTACACGAAGTCTTCCCGGCCCTTTTAACCTCAATAGTATTGTATGTCGTGATCTCGAAAATGACCCCACCTGTTCACGCCGCGGAAGTCTATCTGCAAACAGATTGACCAGCGCGTTCCGGGTATTAATAAAAAAGCTGAAGGAGTAGATGGTTCGATGAGTGATACAAAAGATCGCAGTGGTGCAGAGGCTCTGGTGCAAACTCTGGTTGATGCAGGTGTAGACGTCTGTTTTGCCAATCCAGGAACGTCTGAAATGCATTTTGTGGCCGCGCTGGATTCCAATCCTGACATGCGTTGTGTGCTGGGTTTGTTTGAAGGTGTTGTCACCGGTGCAGCTGATGGTTATGCGCGCATGGCGGGCAAGCCCGCAGTCACCCTCACCCATCTGGGGCCTGGATTGGGCAACGGACTGGCCAATCTGCACAACGCTAAGAAAGCCCGTACTCCGGTCGTTAATGTTGTAGGAGACCACGCCACCTTTCACCGTAAGTATGATGCGCCGCTGACCAGTGACGTCGAAGGTATCGCTAAACCGATTTCCGGTTGGGTGAAAGTATCTCAATCCGCTGATGACGTTGCCGCTGATGGGGCTGAAGCTGTGCAGGCGGCGATGGCGCCACCCGGGCAGGTGGCGACGTTGATTCTGCCGGCGGACACGGCCTGGAACCGCACCACGGCAGCGGCCGCGCCCTTGCCGGCTCTTACACCCAAAAGCTTTGTGCAGGGCAATGTATCTGAGGTTGCTACTGCGCTGCGCAGCGGTAAGCCGAGTGTGATTCTGATGAATGGCATAATCACGCAAGAACGCGCCGCCTGGGCAGATCAGATTGCGCAAGCCACGGGTGCCAGAATCATTATGGACACCTTTGTAGGGCGGGTTCAACGTGGTGCAGGTAGAGCTGAGGTGCAACGTCTGCCTTATTTTGGTGAGCAGGCGGCGGAACTGCTTGCGGGTACCGAGCATCTGATATTGGTAAGCACTCAACCTCCCATTACCTTTTTTGCATACCCCGATAAGCCCAACTGGCTGACGCCAGAGGGTTGTGAGCTACACACGCTGGTTGAGCGTGATGAAGATGTTGACGGCGCCCTTGCCGCACTGGTTGATGAGCTTGGAGCTGGTGCCACACCGGCGCGCACTGTTGCCCTGGATATTCCAGCATTACCCAAAGGCGAACTGACGCCGGGTTCGCTGGGCGCAACCCTGGCACACTATTTTCCTGACAATGCCGTTGTGGTGGATGAAGGCGGCACCTGTGGTGCTGGCGCAACCTTTGCAACACGAACGGTTGCCCCGCATGACTGGTTGATGCTCACGGGCGGATCTATTGGCTACGGCCTGCCTTGTGCAACAGGCGCTGCGGTGGCGTGTCCGGATCGCCCTGTGATCTGTCTACAGGGTGATGGTGCTGGTATGTACACCAACCAGGCGTTGTGGACACAGGCGCGGGAAAAGCTGAATGTCACCAACATTATTCTGGCGAATCAGAAGTATTCCATTCTGCAGATTGAGTTTGGCCGTGTGGGTGCGCATAACCCCGGGCCGAAGGCGATGAGTATGCTGGATCTGTCGAATCCGGAATTGAACTGGGTGTCGATGGCTGATGGCATGGGTGTGCCAGCCTGGCGGGTGCGGACAGTGGAAGAGTTTGCTGCTGCGCTGCAGGAATCATTTTCGATACCGGGCCCGACTTTGATTGAGGCAATGCTCTAGTCAGATCTCCTGCCCGGCGTTGACGGCTGAATATTGTGTAGTGTACGCTACGTAAACAACGTAGCGGATGCTACACAATTTAACGTTGTTTGGAACTATCGTCAGCTCGGGAGAAAAAGATGGCCGCTTTTCGTTTGTTGCTTGTTTTGATGCTGATTGTTCTGGGGGCCTACACAGCTGTAGTCATCCTCGAATACGGCATGAATCTGTTCCAGGTTTTCTTCGGCGATATGGCGGCAGTTAACTGGGCCGGTCAGTTCAACCTTGATTTCATGTTTATGCTGGCGCTTTCTGCATTATGGGTTTCCTGGCGACATGGGTTTTCACCTGCAGGTTTAGGTCTGGGTGTGCTTGCTTTCTTTGGTGGCGCCGTATTTTTAGCCATTTATTTACTTATCCTGAGTGCCAAGGCGAACGGCGACGCTCGCTATATATTGCTTGGCGAGCGGATGTCGTAGTTCCGTAAATGCCCTTATAACGCGTTTTAAACCTTTGCAATCTGCTGATTAAAAATGTTGGGAGAGCGGATGAAAAACCAAGTTGAAAAATGTGAAGCATTGGCGGCGCTACATGCGTCAAGCGATGCATGGATAATCCCGAATCCCTGGGACCTTGGTTCGGCAAAAGACCTTGAGAAGCACGGTTTCAAGGCGCTGGCGACCAGTAGCGCTGCGTGCGCGTATACCATGGGCCTCAAAGATGGCGAAGTGTCGCTGGAGCAGAAGCTGGCCTATTGCGAAGCCATGGCCAGTCACACAACACTGCCATTGAGCGTTGATTTTGAGGATGGTTATGACAATGCGGCCGCTGCTGTTGCCGCCAACATCAAGCGCCTGGCAACAACCGGTGTGGCAGGATGTTCAATTGAAGATTTCAGTCGTGTTGATCAGAGCGTATTTGATTTTAACCATGCGTTAGAACGCATTCATGCAGCCGTAGAAGCCGTTTCCACTCTGAATATGCCTTTTCAGCTGATTGCACGCGCAGATGGGTTGATCAGAAGGCAGTATGATCTCGAAGAAGCCGTTAAGCGATTGCAGGCATTTGCTGCCGCAGGTGCCCATGTGCTTTTTGTACCTGGTCTTAACACCATGGATCAGGTTCGGCAGGTCGTCAGCAGTACAGATCGCCCCTTGAATGTGCTGTCTCCATTTTTCCCCGGCGTATCTGTCGCTGAATTCAGCGCGGCGGGGGTGAATCGACTCAGTCTGGGTGATGTGTTGCTGACGAAAGTACGAACCCAGTTCAATAAAGGTGTTGAAGAGATGTTGTCGACGGGTGCAGCCAGCTGAGAGCGTCAGGCCCGTCGAAACACCGTTCACCTAGTCGTCGATAATCGCCTGATAAGTCAGCACCTGAAAATCCTGGCGAATGTTGATATGCGTATAGGGACGAACCTGAGTCATAATAACGCCCACCAGTTCCTGTTCGGGGTCTAACCAGGACAAAGTGCAGTACGCGCCACCCCAGTAGCCTGAACCTTCAGACAGCGGTGTAGCAGCGGCACCTCGATCGGTGACAACACCGTAACCCAGACCAAAAGACATTCCCGGCCCGGCCAGCCACAGGTCGAGATCACCGGTGTGGTTCTCCAGCATCAGGCTGACTGTGCTTGGCGCTAACAGCCGGGTGCCATCGAGTTCCCCACCATTTAGCATCATCTGCTGGAAACGCAGGTAGTCGCGGGTAGTTGAGGCGAGTCCGCCAGCGCCACGAAACAACGTCTTAGGACCAGTTATCCATCGGCTCTCTGCGGAGCCCGGGTCCTGCAGGGTGATTTTCATGTCTTCACCCGGTGTGTATTGGGCTGTTAGACGTGCGGCTTTGTCCTCGTCCATGTAAAAGTGTGTGTCAGGCATATCCAGCGGTTTGAAAATGCGTTCTTTGAAGAACTCGTCCAGCGTCTGGCCGCTGATCACTTCGACAAGTCGCCCGACGACGTCGGTAGCTACTGAATATTGCCAGGCCTCGCCGGGTTGATAGTTCAGTGGAATTTGCACCAGTTTTTCCATCAGATGGGCGTTGTCGCGTGTCGGTTCCCCGCCCATAGCGGCTCGATAAGCTTCTGTGTTGCCGACGTAGCTGTTGGCCAGGCCGGCGGTGTGTGTGAGCATGTCACGGATCTGGATGGGGCGTTTCAATTCCACCAGTTCACCTGTTGCACCACTGGCATCACCCGTTGTGCTGACTTTGACGTCCGCGAAGGCTGGAATGAATTTAGAGACCGGGTCGCGTAACTGAAAATGACCTTCTTCCCATAACATCATCAGCGCCACAGAGGTGATGGGTTTGGTCATGGAGGCGATACGGAAGATGGCATCTTCGCGCATGGCTTTGCCTGCTTCGACGTCCATGTCACCGTGGGTTTCGAAATGGATCAGTTTGCCTTTGCGGACAATTGCAGTAATGACGCCGGGCGTCAGGTCCTCATCGATATAACCCTGCATAGCCTTACTGATGCGGGCCAGACGTTCGCTGGACATACCCACAGATTCAGGTTTAGCAGTCGGAATTTCTTTCGCCTGAACCTGGCCAAGTGCAATGCTTAATAACGCAATGGTGATCAGTATTCTGTACATCATCTATTTCTCCGCCTTTTCAGCTTCAACCCGGGCAATGCTCGGGTGTGCGGCAAGCTTCTGCATCAATGCAGCGATATCCGGGTTTTGCGCGATGATACTTTCGTTGAACATCTTCTGGGTGATGACATCAGCAAGCCCGTAGCAGAAGTAAAGATAATAGTCGGCCAGGGTCAGTGTGCTTCCGGCCGCATAGGGATCACAGACAATAATACGATTGACGGCTGCCAGGCCACGCTGCAGATCGGCGTGAGTACTGGTCTTGGTCTCCTCGCTGACGGTCTGACCGAACAGTGCCTCCGGTAGGCAGCGACGAGCAACCAGCTCAACGTCAAGTTTGATGTGATACACCAGCTCCATGACCTTTGCCGCTTGCCAGGGATCGCTGGGTAGCAGCGCAGGCTTCGGTGCAATGGCATCCAGGTACTGCGCGATGGCCAGGGATTCAGATAGATATTTCCCGTCTACGCCAATCGAAGGCATCTTGCCCATCGGCGTGCGCGCGAGATTATCGTCTTTCTGCGTCGGCGGGGCCTTAACTTCTTCAAATGCCAGGCCTTTGTCTATCAACAAGGCTTTTATCAGACCGTAATAGTTACTCAGGCGCAGGCCGTATAGCTTAATCATCACACTCTCCCCAGAGATTATTGGTTAGCTTTTTGGGAAATACTGGTTGGTAATTTTATTGTGTAAGGTGAAAAGCTGCCTCTGTCGTGCATCAACGTATTTATGCAGTCGATCGTCTTTCAGCGTACGTACACGAGCACGCTGCAGCTGGCGGCGCATGTTGTTAACCAGCTCCAGTGGTTCGGTGTTGTTGGGCAGCTGTCGCAGGCAGTTGCGCACGGTATTCAGGCAGCGCATCAGCGAGCGCGGCAGGTCGTCGTTTTTCAGCAGGAATTCGAGAACGTCTTCCTGGTTGACCGGGTTCTGCATGCTGATGGTGTAGTTCTGCATGGAATCCAACGAATTTAGTACGCTGCGCCACTGGATGATTGTGAACGGCTCAAGGTCGGATGCGCTTTCTACCAGGTTGGTGGTGCGCAGATCGATCAGGCGCGTAGTCATATCGGCGCGCTCGATGAAGTTGCCCAGACGATAAAACTGCCAGCTGGCATTGTGCAGCATGGTTGAGGATAAAAAGCCGTTAATCTGATCGAGGTGGCCAATAATTTCCTGCAAGCCAGTGTTGCGCCGGGAGCGGCTCAGAGGCTCCTGCAGCAGGTCTTTTGCGGACAGGTAGGCTTCGTTGATGTGCTCGTATGCACCTCTGGGAAAACTGCCGCGCAGCGTGCGTGCGTTTTCCCGGGCGAACGCCAGGGCGTTGAGCAGCGAGCCGGGGTTGCGTTGATCGCTGAGCAGAAATTTAACAACACTCTTTTCGTTGGTTTCCCTTGCGCTGCGATTAGAGGCGCTTTTAGGGTCTAACTTCCTGTCACCGTAGAGGGCCAGATATTCTTCTTCCTGACTGAGAATTTCGACCAGCGGCATCCAGCCCAAAGGCAGGAGTGCGGGCAGATCGATCATCAGATTGGCATTGACGGACACCAACCTTGCGGTGCTGCCCGCGCGCTCGAGATAGCGACCGAGCCAGTAGGTACGTAAGGCAGTGCTGGATAAGGTGCGATCGATCATTGTGGATCTACCACCCAGGTATCTTTACTGCCTCCACCTTGCGACGAGTTCACCACGATAGAACCTTTGCGCATGGCCACGCGTGTTAACCCGCCCGTGGTGACATAGTGATCTGCACCGCTGAGGATAAAAGGCCGCAGGTCAAGGTGCCGAGGTTCCGCGTTGGCGTCGATTAAGGTGGGTGATGTCGATAGATTCAACATCGGCTGCGCCATGTAATTACGTGGATTCGCGCGAATCTGTCGAGCGAACTGATCGCGCTCTTTCTTGCTGGCTTTCGGCCCAATCAGCATGCCGTAGCCGCCTGATTCATTGGCGGGTTTGACGACAAGTTTGTCGAGATTGTCCAGTACATAGTCGCGGTGTTCCTTTTCAACACAACGATATGAGGGCACGTTCGGAATCAGTGCTTTTTCGCCCAGATAATATTTGATCATGTCGGGCACGTAGGTGTAGATGACTTTGTCATCCGCGACGCCGCAGCCGGGTGCATTAGCGAGTGCTACTTTGCCAGCGCGCCAGGCGCGCATGATACCCGGTACACCAAGTGCAGATTCGGGGTTGAACACTTCCGGGTCGAGGAAAGAATCATCGATGCGTCGATACAGTACATCCACACGCACCAGGCCCTGGATAGTGCGCATGTACAGGTAATCGTCTTTACCCACTTCCAGGTCGCGACCTTCAACCAGTTCAGCGGCCATCGCGTTAGCGAGATAAGCATGCTCAAAATAGGCCGAATTATAGATGCCGGGTGTCAGTACAGCTAACTGCGGTGAACGGGTGCTGTTAGGGTTGAGTGAACGCAGGCACTTGGCCAGTTCTGTGGGGTAATCGTCTACCGGATGAATGAGGTAGTCGGAAAACAGTTCCGGAAACACACGTTTCATGACTTCGCGATTTTCCAGCATATAAGATACGCCGGAAGGCACACGCAAGTTGTCTTCCAACACATACATGGTGCCGTCACCGCCGCGCACCAGGTCGCTGCCACAAATATGCGCCCACATACCCTGTGGCGGGGATACGCCCATACACTCCGGGCGGAAGTCTTTGGATTTATCGATGTATTGCCTTGGCAACACGCCGTCTTTCAGAATTTGCTGCTTGTGGTAGATATCGTCGATGAACAGGTTAAGGGCTTTTACACGTTGTATAAGGCCTTTTGTTATTTCATCCCACTCGCTCTTCATGACAAGCCTGGGAATGATGTCGAAAGGCCACTCCCGATCTATGGTGTCGCTGCCCTCTCCGGAGTACACGGTAAATGTGATACCCATGGAACGTATTGCCAGCTCTGCCGCGTGGCGGCGCTCCAACAATTCGTTGTCGTCGAGTTTGCCCAGCGCGCTTTTCAGGGCTGCACCACCTTTGCGGGCGCGCCCGTTGGGTGCAATGAGTTCGTCCCAGACATTGTCTGCCTGGTAAGTTTGCCAGTTGATTGCCATAGGCACATTGTACACATTCAAATTATTTTTTGATCCTTTTCACATGCTGGTGAACCCACGGTCAGGCAAAATAAGTCCATGAGTATTGAAAAGTTCATGCAAGACAGTAACCGTCTCCTTGTTATCACGGGTGCGGGTTGCAGCACGGCGTCAGGTATTGGCGACTATCGGGATGAACAGGGTGAGTGGAAGCGGGCGCAGCCGGTGCAGCACCAGGCGTTTATGCAGACGCTGGCATGGCGGCAGCGCTATTGGGCCCGCAGCCAGGTCGGCTATCCGGAGTTCAAGCGCGCAGCGCCTAACGTCACCCATCAGGTGTTAGCGCATTGGGAAGCGCAGGGTCGTCTGTGTGGATTAATCACGCAGAATGTGGATGGCCTGCATCAGCGCGCAGGCCACCAGCAGGTGATCGATCTGCACGGGCGCCTGGATCAGGTGGTGTGTATGGACTGTGGGGATACGGTTGGACGCGATGATGTCCAACAATGGCTGGATAAGCATAATACGCCTGCGCTGGAAGACACTGTGGGCATGGCGCCCGATGGAGATGCGGATCTCGCGCGAACCGATTTTTCTGCGATAAAAGTACCCGAGTGTCTGCAGTGTGGGGGTATTTTGAAGCCTGATGTTGTGTTTTTCGGTGACTCAGTACCTAAGGCCAGAGTTGCAGATGCGTTTGCTCAGCTTGAGCAGGCGGATAGCGTGCTGGTGGTTGGCAGTTCGCTGATGGTGTACTCAAGCTTTCGATTTGTACGCCGGGCTGCGGAGTTGGGTCTACCCATCGCCGCGTTGAATCGAGGTAAGACACGCGCAGATGAGCTGCTGACACTGAAGATAGACGCCGACTGTGGCGAGACGCTGCGAGCATTGTCCGATCTGTAACCTGTACAATCAAAGCAGGGGTCATTGATGTGAAAAGGAAAATATCATGAAGCGTATACTGGGGGTTCTTGTTTTACTCCTCTCTCCGGCCTTTGTCTGGGCAGATGCCGAGACCACAGACTGTGTTTATGCCCGCGACGTGAAGCAGTTTGAGATCCTCAACGACAGCACACTGCTGCTCATCGGTCGGCTCGATCGTCGATGGGTAAATCGGCTCAATACACGATGTGCGGGATTACGAAAAAATATGGTGCTCAACGTATCTCGATTCGGCAGCCAGATCTGCGCCAACGATAGAATTACGGCGACGAGTCGCGGTGCCGTTCGCGGCGAAGGGCCGGTGGCCAACTGTCTGCTGGGTAAGTTTGAACCGGTCACTCCTGAGCAGGTGGCCACGCTGCGACAATCTCTGGCGGAGGCTGATCAGTCATGACACGCGTATATCGTTATCTTTTTATCTTTGTCATATTGTCCGGATGCAGTAGCGCCGGGGTTGAGGAGCAGCAGCGAGCCGCAGCAGAAAAAGCGCTGTCGGTGGAAGAAATTCTCAACCGTGATCCAACCCAGAGTGATTATGTGAAGTCGCCGCGTTGTATTAACACCACTCGCATCCGGGATATGGAAGTGATCGACGAGCAACACATCGTGTTACGCGTCGCGCGTGCTGAATATTATCTTATCCGTTTTGATCGTCGCTGCCCGGGCTTGCGTCGAGGCCGGCCGGTGATTTACGAGCCAGGTAGTGGCAGCCAGCTGTGTGTTCTGGATGGTATTCGCGCTACTTACGATACTGGTCTAGGCGGCATCTCCCCAGGCATGCGCTGCAGCATTCCAGGTTTTGCAAGCGTGACTAAAGAGCAGGTCTCGCTGCTCAAAGACACGCTCCAGGTCAATCGTCGAACGTCCGAGACAACCGCACCTGCACCGGAAGCTGACGATGAATCATCTGCCGGTGCCGGGTCTGACGAAGAGACTTAGCGATCGAGAACCAGCTCTGCGAGGGTCTGCAGTTGAGCTGAACTGCGCGCGGACACGGTCAGCGAGGTTACTGGCGTCTCGTCCCATGCCTGCAGGCGATCTTTGATCTTATCGATGGGTCCCACCAGAGAAATCTCGTCTGCCAGGGCGTCAGGAATAGCTTGAGCGGCCTCGTCCTTTTTCCCTGCCATAAACAGATCCTGAACTTTCTGTGCTTCGGCTTCAAAACCCATGCGGCTGACAAGTTCTTTGTGGAAGTTGCGGTCTTTGGCACCCATGCCGCCGACATAAAGTGCCAGCATGTGTTTCACCGGCTGCAGACCGGCTTCAACATCATCAGTAATGTTGACCACTACACCCTGGGTGATCTCGAAGTCTGCTTTGGCATTGGACAGCGAAGGTGCATAGACCTCCTGGCGGAACGGAGAGTAGTAAAGGGGCAGCCAGCCATCTGCAATCTCTGCGGCCAACGCCACATTTTTTGGGCCTTCGGCACCCATGAAAATAGGAATTTCTTTACGTAGAGGATGCAGGATCGACTTCAAAGGTTTGCCTAGCCCCCAGGACCCTTCCCCTTGATAAGGCAGAGGGTAATGTTCGCCTTGGTTGGCGACAGGTTCCTCGCGCGCGATGACCTGACGCATGATGTCGATATATTCTCTGGTTCGCGCCAGGGGTTTGGCAAACGGACCGCCGTACCAGCCCTCGACAACCTGTGGTCCGGATACCCCCAGACCAATTATCATACGGCCGTTGGAGAGGTGATCCATGGTCATGGCAGCCATTGCGGTTGCTGTCGGGGTGCGCGCCGACAGCTGTATCACCCCGGTGCCCAGACGAATAGTGCTGGTATTGGCGCCGATCCAGGCGAGCGGGCTCAATGCATCAGAACCATAAGCTTCGGCAGTCCATACCGAATCGTATCCCAGGCGTTCAGCCTCCTGTGCCAGTTGTATGTGGTTGGTGGGCGGCTGTGAGCCCCAGTAGCCGAGTGCCAGTCCCAGTTTCATATCCGGCATGTGTTTCCCCCGAAAAGTGTCAGTGTGTTGTTAAGTTCTAGGGTATGACCATTCGACAAGTCGCGGCAAGCAGGTATTGATGATGTATCATGCGATCTTCACTTTTGAAGCCGAAGCACAATGGAAGATCAATGGTTGGCGTGGGCCAAACGATTGCAGGCGCTGGCGTCAACTGGGTTGCACTTCGATGTATCTGAGCATGACAACGAGCGCTATCGTGAAGTAGCTGAGATTGCTCAGCACATGTTGGCAGCGTTGGGCCGGGTGCCGTTGCAAGAGATCCTGCATCTGCATGCTGACTTCGCACAGAGTTACGCGACACCTTTGATAGATGTGCGCGGTGCAGTTTTCCGCGGCGGCGAGATTCTCCTGGTGCAGGAAAAAACCGATCAGCGCTGGACTTTGCCCGGCGGATACGCAGATGTAGGGCTATCTGCAGCTCAGAATATTGAAAAAGAAATTGCTGAAGAAGCGAACCTTGCCGTGAAAGCGCGGGCCCTTTACGCCGTGAAGCACAAAGCCAAGCACGCTTACAGACCGGATGTGCGCGATTTCTATAAATTCTTTTTCCTCTGTGAGCAGATTGACGATACTTTGCCCCAGGCAGGGTACGAGTGTCTCAGTGCTGACTATTTTGATCCTCGGCAACTGCCAGAGTTATCCACAGGGCGGGTGATTGCAGCGGATATAGAAGCAGCGTATGCCTTCCGCGCAGACCCTTCGCGTTTTACAGCGTTTGACTGATAGGGAGCGAAGTACATTGAGTCGACTGTGGATCTTGCGTCTGGTGCCTGATGTCAGATTTGGCCGCTGGTTTTCGTTTATCGCGCTGATTCTCCTGATGACGGCTTTTGTGGAATCGGCAGGCCTGTTAACTGGCGAATATCCGTACATGAGTTGGCCGATTGCCCTGTTTTTTGTTTGCATTGTGGCTTACATCGTCCCGGTTTTTCACTTTGTCACCGAGCGTAGTCAGGCGGCACTCAGGGAGTTACGTCAGAATGGTTTGATATCAACCGAAGAAGAAGAGAGGTTGAGGGTTCGTGTGAGCCACCGTTCCTGGCGCTGGGCGATCCTTAACCTCGTGGCAGCCTCAGCGTTGTGGTTTTCTCAAAGTTGGTTATTGACCGGTGAGCTGGTTGTTATGGTGAACAGCCTCTTCCGCGATTACCCGGGTTTTGTCGCGACGCTGTCGCCCTGGCTCGTTTGGATTACAGTAACCTGTACGGTACACGCGTTGGTCGATAACGCGCGTATGTTCAGGCAGCTGGCGCGAAAGGTGGATGTCGATATTCTGAATATCTCTTCGCTTATCCCGTTTGGGCGTATGGCAGTCAGCTCAACACTACTGGTCATCGGCGCGCAGTCGTTTTTTTCGATCATGTGGTTGGGTGGTGACACCAGCGTCTGGACCACCATTCCAGGATTAGTGCCCACCACCGCGGCGTTGGTTTACTTGTTTGTTGCGCCGGTATGGCCTCTACATAAGCGTTTGAAGCATGCGAAGCTGACACAGCTCGCCGTGGTTCAGCAACAGATCAATCAGATATCGTCTGCGCCAGTGCGGGATATGTCTGCTTTGGCGACCTTGCTGACCTTTCGTCGTGAAGTGGCCTCGGTAGCCGAATGGCCACTGGATATCAGCGTGCTGGCTAGATTCAGCCTGTATCTGGTGATTGTGCCGCTCACCTGGATCGGCGCGGCGTTGATAGAAAACGTTGTCGACTTTTTTATTGCGTAAATTTTGCAAATCAAAGTACTTTGCCGGTGGCAAGGTGGACGCAACACAGGCAAAATCTGCGTCACGTTTTGCACAGGGGAAAATTCGGTCTGATGAGTGGCTACAGAACCAGAGAAGTTGCTGAACTCATAGGTCTGAATACTGATCAGGTGCGTCACTATGTGCGCCGCTCCCTGGTGCAACCCGCCCGCGGTCAGCGTGGCGAATATAGATTTTCTTTTCAGGATGTGGTGTTGATGCGAACCGCCAAAGGTTTGATGAGCGCCTCAGTGACTACGCGCAAAGCTTATCGCGCGCTGGTTAAACTGAAAAAGGAAATGGAGCAGGAAAAATCTCTCAGTGCCGTGCGTATTTATGCGGATGGCACCACTGTTATGGCGCGGGATGATCAGCATGTCTGGGAAGTTGAGACCGGCCAGATCAATCTTGATTTCAGCCGCGGCGAAATAGCAGGCACCGTTGCAGACATTGCAGAGCAACACGTGCAGGCAGCGATAGCCGCGGAGGATCTGGATACAGATGAGTGGTACAACCTGGGTCTCGACCTTGAAGAAGTTGACCCGGATAAAGCGCCGGACGCGTATAAGCAGTCGATTCGTCTCGACCCTAAAAATGCTGATGCGCACGTTAATTTAGGCCGGTTGTATCAACTTCGTGGGGACCTTAAACATGCCAAGCGCCACTACGAACTGGCTTTAACAGCACGCCCCGGCCATCAGCTGGCGTTTTACAATCTCGGTACCGTATTTGATGAGCTGGATGAAACCAGCAAAGCAGCCGACTTCTATCAGCAGGCGCCGTCAATCCCCGATGCACATTACAACCTGGCGCGCATTCGCGAGTTGCAGGGTGATGAGGTCAGCGCATTGCGACACATGCGTGCTTATCGCGATCTTGTCGACGCGCAGAGCGACTGAGCGCCGCAAACTGCGCTACCGCCGCGTCGATTAACCGTCGTAGGTATAGGCTCTCTCCTGCAGCCGCTCAAAACCCATATCACCGCGACCGCAGCTGTCTACATAATCCATTTTGAAAGCATAATAACGCGTGCTGTTCTCACGCCGCAGTGCAACGGTCAGGAAGTCTTCAGAGCCTAAGCTTTTTAAGGTGGCGCCGTAATCGCAAACGGTCCGTGCAATCAATGCGTCGATGTCCGCACTTTGCGAAGCAGGCGAAGCAGGCGTTTCCGGCGTGTCTATGCGATCGCGGTAGTCGCGCAGAGACTTGTATTGAATATCGATGTCCTTGGCGAGGGCGTCGTACTGCGTGTCAACAGCAATCAATTCACGTTCCAGGTTTTCAATTTGCCGCTGCACCTTCTGCTGCTCGTCGTTAGAGTCTGCGCGCACCAGTTCCCGCCGCTGGGTGCGTAGCTGAGCGCGGATATCACGCTGTTCCAGGCGCAGGTCGCGCTGCTCAGCGCGTAGCTCGCGCAGAGTTTCCAATGACTCTGGTTCATAGGGTGATAAATCGATCTGCAGGTCAGACAGAATGTTTTCCACCATCGAAGGTATCTCATCAAGGTTGATCTGGCCGTTGATGGCAATGGCGGTGTCGCCATTGTTGATGGTCAGCCAGGGCGCATTCAGCCGCACGGAAACCAGCACCCCCTGTTTGGCCAGATATTCGGCGGTGACACTGGTGACACGAATTCCGCTCTTCAGCTCATTACGAAGCGCGGATTTCATCACGTCAGCAACAATTTTGGCCTCCCGCGTGATGTCAGTAAGATTATCAACCTCGCGTGCGGTGGCGAGGCTGGCCAGGGATAATGTTAAGCAGGTAAGTAGCCAGCGTGCGATCTTCATGGCGTATGCACTCCTTCTTCTGCAGCATCACTGCCGGTGCCCGGCGTGGCTGCAGGATTGCGATCAGCGGTTGTGACCAGGTCTTTAACCTGTTGATACAGCTCATCCAGTTCCTGCTGCCCCTGCAACTGGTTGGTGATCACAAAACGCAGGGAATCTTCTGTTTCGATAGTGCGGCGATCCATTTCGGCCTTCAGGTATTGCAGTAACACCTGCAGTTCTTCCTGACGCTGCTCGCGGCTGCCTTCCATGACTCTTTCGACCATGGCCGCCTGTGTCGCTTGAGGCAGCTCAGGCAATTCCTGATAACTGCTCAGGGGCTGGCTGGAAGCCGGCAATACGCCGCTGTTCTCGGGCATCTGCACAAATATCATGGTGGCGACTGCCAGCGCAGCGGTGCTGGCTGCGGTAGGGAACCACAAACGGAAATTGTCCAGCCAGTTATGGTTGCTGGTCACCGGGGCTGGCTGCCAGGCCGGTACGGTTTCGTCATGCCAGTTTTCTGCCATGTTAGACAGCATGTTGATGGCCTCGAAGTCAGACTGGCAATCAGCGCAGCTTTCCAGGTGAGTCTCAACTTCAACTGACAGCGAATCGTTTAACGACTTCTGGGCGTAATCAATTAAAAGCGGATTTGCGTGTTCACAGAGCATCTCGCAGTTCCTCGTGTTGCTTCAGTTTTCGCAGGGCACTGTACAGTCGTGTTTTGGCTGTATTGGCGGATATGCCAAGCTGGCCTGCGATATCTTCAAAGGTGAAGTGTTGAAAAAATTTGAGTTCTACAACCTGACGCTGTTCATCAGGCAGGGTGCCCAGCGCAGCGCTTATTTTCTGGTTTGCGTGGGTGGTAAAGGTTTGTTCCTCCGGGCCTGCTTCAGCGTTCAGAAATCCTCTTTCTTCATCAAATTCGTCATGGAATTTGCGTCGCCGCAGATAGTCTGTACAGCGAAAGCTGGCGATGCGGAACAACCAGGCAGGGAAGGGTGCGTCACCGCGGAAACTGCCGAGGTTGCGATGTACACCGACAAACACTTCCTGCATCAGGTCAAAAGCGTCATCAGGGTGGCTCACCATTCTTAAAGCGTAGTTGTACACGCGTTTTTCATACCTCTTGATTAATTTATTCCACGCGCTGTTGGACCCCGCCACAGCGCGTGTTATCAACACTTCATCAGTCACCGGACCTAGCATTTAATTATTCTTGTGCCTGCCTTGAGGAGAATGTCGCGACATACCGGGAAATAGTTTGCCGCAAGGTGCGAAAATCAGTCTTCCAGTATCTTCAGGGGGATGAGATTAGCATCAGGTCTGCGTTTGCCCCAGGCGATGAGGCTGGCGAAAAAAGCCGTGGCGGCGAGGCTGACGCCGGCCAGCCACAGCGTGGCGCTGGTAGGGTCGTCTGAGAAAGTGCCGATCTGATACACAATCACCGCAGCACCGTAAGCCACCACAAATGACCAGGCGACAGAAAACGTGGCCCAGAAAGACCCCAACTCTTTGTAGATCACGCCAATGGTCGCAACACAGGGCATGTAAAGAAGGATGAACAGCAGGTAAGCAAACGCACCGAGCTGCCCGTTAAACAGACTCTGCATGGCGCTGATGGTGTTGATCTGCACTTCCTGGGCCTCAGCCTGTAATGCGGTATCTTCCAGGTTGCCTAGGTCCAGGCCCAGTGGGTCTGTCAGCTGGCCTGCAATTTCACTGAGGTTGGCCGGTACGCTCGCCACAGCTTGACTGAGCATGTCGGTCAAGCTGTTGTCTTCGTGCTGGCTTGTCGGCGCATACAAAGCATCCAACGTGCCGACCACAACTTCTTTAGCAAAAATACCGGTGAAAATGCCAACAGTGGCAGGCCAGTTATCTGCTTCGATACCCATGGGTTTAAACACCGGGGTAATGGTTTTGCCGATCGCTGAGAGCACTGAGCTCTCCGAATCTTCGTTGCCAACGCTGCCGTCGGTACCGATGGAGCTGAGCACGTTGAGGGCAATGACCACCAGCACAATAGCTTTACCTGCGCGTACCACAAACCCTTTTAAACGTTGCCAGGTCTGCAGCAGAATGTTGCGCAGCACAGGTAAATGGTAGGCGGGCAGTTCCAGGATAAACTCGCTGCGGCGTTCCGGTAAAAGGTGTTTGCGGACTACCATTGCGCTCAATATCGCCACAACGATACCGATCAGGTACAGGGCAAATACGATGTTCTGGCCATTGCTGGGGAAAAACGCTGCGGCAAACAGGGCGTATACCGTCAAGCGGGCGCCACAGCTCATGTAAGGGGCCATCAATGTTGTCAGAATACGATCGGGTTGAGAATCCAATGACCGGGTTGCCATGACCGCGGGGACATTGCAGCCAAACCCAACGATCAGCGGTACAAATGATTTGCCAGGCAACCCCAGACTGCGAAGCAGGCGGTCGACAATAAAGGCGACCCGCGCCATGTAGCCGGAATCCTCTAAAAACGCGAGCACCAGAAACAGCGCGCCGATAACCGGAATAAAGGTGCCCACCAGCTGCACGCCGCCGCCGACGCCGTCGGCCAGAAAGACGATACCCCAGGCGGGTAGCCCCAGCCACTCGAACAGCTGTCGCGGCCCCTCTACAAACAAAACGCTGCCCACAAGATCGAAAAAGTCGATAAATGCTGAACCGATGTTGATGGAGATCAGGAACATCAGATACATCACGCCAAGGAAAACAGGGAAGGCCGCAAACCGGTTCAGGACCACCTGATCAATGGCTTGCGTCCAGCCGCTTTGTGTTGCCTTGTCAAAGTGAGTACAGCTTTCGATAAGCTTGTCGATCTCTGCATAGCGGTTGACGTCGTCGCCGCTGGCGAAGTCGGCAACAGGAGCAGCGTGTCCGATGGCGTTGTTGAGTTCGTCTAAGCCTTCCCGGCGGGTTGCGATGAGTGGCACCACGGGACAGCCAAGGGCTTGAGCGAGAACATCGAAGTCGATTTGTGTGCCTTGTGAGCGCGCAACGTCCAACATATTGATAACCACAACCGTGGGTATGTTGAGATCGTGAAGCTCGCTGGTGAGATACAGGCTTCGGCTTAAACTGGAGCCGTCGGTAATATTGATGGCCATATCAGCATCGCCGCTGGCCAGATAATCCCGCGCAATTTTTTCATCAAGCCCGCCGGCAATGGGATCGAGGCTGTAGGTGCCGGGTAAGTCGATAAGCTCCAGGTCACCGCTTGCGGTGGCGTAGGTGCCACTTTTCCGTTCGACGGTGACACCTGGCCAGTTGCCAACACGCTGGTGCGCGCCGGTCAAGGCGTTAAAAAGCGTGGTTTTACCACTATTGGGATTGCCAATCAGGGCTATTCTGGTCATGTCTCAACCACTTCGAATTGCAGCGTTCTGGCTTCACTGGGTCTTATCGCCAGGGAATAGCCGCGTAGTCGCAGTTCGATGGGATCACCAAGTGGCGCACTGCGCAGGATGGTGACCAATGTGCCAGGTACCATGCCCAGGCGCTGCAGCTGCGCGCTGTAGTTGGACTTTTCGGTAAAGCCCGTGATACGAATTTGCGTGCCTGTGTTGAGTTCGGCCAGGGGTGACGTCATGGTGGATGAAGGTCTGATACAACAACGGAACTCTGACAGCTCCGGTTATTTTGTGCAAATGATTCTTATTTACATTGAGGCGTGCATAAATTGAGGCGCAGAGGTTAAATAGGCGTGGACCTTAAGTGTGCGATCGAACCAGGAGACGGTCGAATGTTGGCGTTAACCGTGGTGACAAAAAACCATGACCTCAAGCGGCTGGTTGCAGAGATCAATGAGGCTCTGTGGGATGCGGCTAACGAGATGTCTATGTATGACGCTGAGTCTTTAGCAGCTTATCTTGAACATCAGGATACGCTCTTTGTAGCCTGCCACGAGGTGGTTGGGTCGCGACATATATTTGTTGGCATGGCATCGTGTCGCTTTGAAATCAAACCTTATGGTAAAGAACGCTGGCTCTATGTTGATGAAGTTGACGTCTGTGCTGACCATCGTCAGAAAGGTGTGGGCAAAGCCATCATGCTGAAGCTGATCGAGTTGGCGGAGGAAGCGGACTGCGAGGAAGTCTGGCTGGGTACCGAAGCGGATAATGATGCCGCAAATGCGCTGTATCTCTCGCTTGATCCGGATGATGTGGGGCAGGTTGTGGGCTACACCTACGAAATGAAGGAGTAAGTGGCGGTGTCTGGTTTACCGCACATACTGTGCGCCTGAGCAAACTATGAAGCATGTGAAACATACGTTTTTTAGCTCTCTGGTGGGGCTACTTCTACTGGCGGTAATGCCCGTGGCTGGCTACGCGGATAATTACAAGCGTGTGATAGAGGCGTGCACCAACCTGGTGTTGGACTATGCCTACTTTCGTGACCGGCCAGATGCAGAAGGCGTTGCAAGTCTTTTCGCCGAAGATGCGCAGCTGACGGTCCTCGGGCAAACCTTTGTCGGGCGCGCAGCCATTGCTGAGCGCATTCGTGATGCCGCGGGTGGTCCGATTTTTCGACATATGATGAGCACCATACGTATTTTTCCTGATAATGAATCTCACGCACGGGGCGTGAGTTACGTTGCTGTATACACGGCGTCTGCGGGACAACTCCCCAGGCCTTTGCAACAACCTGCAGCGGTGGGTGAATACCATGATCGTTTTGTGTTGACTGAATCAGGCTGGAGAATCGCCCAGCGGGAATTTGTGGCGGTCTTTGTCGCCGAGGCTCCCAGGGATTGATAGGGGGTGTAAAACTTACTCCTTCAGTCGCCCGTACACAGGCTGACCAGGAAAGACACCCTCCACAAGTTCTGCATCACGCAACACAAACACACCATTAACTAACACATGTTTTATGCCGTCAGAAAGTTGCATTGAATCTGTGTAGGTTGCTTTGTCAATAATCAGGTTAGGATCAAACACCGTCAGATCCGCATCAGCACCCACCTGAACCCTGCCTTTTCTTTTCATCTCTGGCGCAATGGCTTCGAGACGACGTGCAGGGAGCAATGTCATCTTTTCAAGCGCTAACATCAGATCAAGTGCCTCGCTTTCTCTGACATAGTGCCCCAGCGTTTTTGCATACGTACCCGCTCCGCGCGGGTGAGATGCACCGTTGGCAAATGAAATACCGTCTGATGCGATGATGACATCCGGCTGCCTGATCAGCCAGGCATTGGCCTCCTCGGACCTGCCGTGGATGATGACCGCGCCGCCTGTCTTGCGGTAGGCATCGAAAGATTCGCGAGTCAGTCGTTCGCCCGTTTTTGCCCATTGCAGAAGGCTGTAGTCCGCCTGCCAATCGTCGAACAGAGCACTCTCGATGAGGGTTGACCCCGCCGTATATGGATAAGCTTCAGTAGTGATATCCAAGCCGGCACGTCTTGCGCCTCTGATCATTTCCAGCGCGGTCATGGCGGACTTATCGGTGCTGGAATTTAAATGGACAATATGCAGAGAAGCCCGGGTAGCAACCGCATTAGCGATGACTTCCTGGACAGGCGCAAGTCGATCTCCGCCCATGCGGCTTGCTGCTCTAACGTGCACAAAAACAGGCGCTTCTAGTGTAGCTGCGGTGTTGAAGGCTTGAAAAATCTCTTCGTGCCCGGCCCCCGGTGTATAGGTGATACCGAACCCAAAACCAAGGGCACCCTGATGCATTCCGCCACGCATGAGAGCAAGGGTATTATCAACTTCTTTGGGCGACAGTTCACGACGGGCTGATTCGGTAGCAAAAGACTCCTGCAGGAAACCCGACCAGCTACCTCCAATATCTTTCTCACCTTCGACCGCAGCATGACGAGCCGCTACGTGACTCACCGTAGCGCCATAGTTCAGCAGGGCTTTATCTTTACGTTGCTCGTAGTAGCGTTCAACCGGCCAGGCGCCAATTTCTAATTCCAGAGCCGTGGTCACACCGTCGCCCGCCTGAAAACGGTTGCTGGGCAAGTCCTGGCCATGGGCATGCAGGTCAATGAAACCGGGCGCTACCACCAGTCCGGCAGCATCTATGCTCAAAGCCGCGCTTGGAGGGTCCTCGCTGATGCTGTGGATTCGACCCTCTCTCACCAGGATATGTCGTATCGCATCCAGGCCTGTTTCCGGGTCCATCACACGCCCGTTTAAAATAGCAATGTCCTGTGCGCTGGCTGTAAGCATTGCTGTTGTGAGCAACGTGCCTGCAACGAGTCTGAATAAAACGTTTGTCTGAAGCATCTGGCTCTCCCCTCCGATTTCCGTATTCTACTCGGGAAACGAGACTCAGGCTCGCATCGTTTAAGTAAGCAGACCTATCTGTATCGCTAACTCAATTCAAACAATCCAGTGTTGCACTGCTCGTTCCGCCACCAGGCGTTCGATATCACGTGGTACAGGTTGTACTCCGTTCGATAAAGACTTTCCGTCGCGTGCAAGAAAGTGAAGACTCATTGATTGCAGGGCCAGGCCCAAGTCCATTATCTCAATTGGGTTTCCATCTCCAGCGGAGAGATTGACAAGGTTGCCATGTGAAACTAGAAATATTTTCCGGTCATCCGGTAGCACATACTCAGTGACATCACCCCGAACTTCTCTGGTTGATGCGGCCATGTCTTCAAGCGCTGGAATGTCGATTTCAGAGGCAAAGTGGCCGGCGTTGGCAATGATCACTCCAGAACGCATCGCATCGAAGTGCTCTCGTTGGAGAATGTTGTCGTAGCCTGTAACGGTGATAATCATTTGAGCGGCAGCCACAGAATCTTCAAGCGTTGAGGTGCAGAACCCTTCCAGATGCGCTTCAAGCAATGACAATGGTTCTTGCTCAACAACAGTTACATGAGCGCCCATACCCCGCAATCTCTGCGCCAAGCCCGCCCCGCAGTATCCGTAGCCGATCACCAACACATTCTTGCCATGCAACATCACATTGGTTGCTCGCATTAAACCATCTACTACCGAGCTTCCTACACCAAAGCGGTTCTCTACGATTCTTTTGGTCAAAGTGTCATTGATGCTGAGGGTCGGAAAGTCTTTGCACCTTATCGATTCTCTCAGGCGAGTTGTCCCTGTTGTTGTTTCCTCGGTTGCACCAATAAGCGACTCGCTGAGATGCCGATATTCATCTCGGGAATAAATCAGGTGATGCAGGTCCGCACCATTGTCGGCTATCAAATGCGGCTCTGATTGAAGGACATATTCACAATGAGTCAAATGGTCTTCGAAAGTCTCATCGCTGCGTGCGAATACGCGGACGCTTTCCATCTCAGCCAGTGCGGCTGCGGTATCATCCTGTGTCGAACCGGGACTACCTGTGATTGAGATCTCGGCGCCACCAGCCGCCAACGCTTCGATCCAGACACCGGTTTTAGCTTCAACATGCAGGCAAATACCAATTTTGAGGTTCTTAAATGGTTGGCTCTTGCGAAAATCTTCAGCCAGGCTTGCAACGATAGGCATATGTGTTCGAGCCCAGTCGATGCGTTTTGCACCCGCTTCGGCGAGGGCGGGGTCAACGACTACCGATTTCATGGTTCTTAGTGTTTCTGAGCATAAAAAATTCCGCGAATAACTGTCATGAACGGTTAGAAACCATAGCAGCCTTTCTAATCCGGAGCTAAAAGCACTGAAGATGCTTGTTTTTCATTCGAAAGAGTGGGGTTGTAGTGCTGCTCGACTTATCTTGCGCGATGTCAAAATGCCAAGGAAAATTTGGCGCCACCGCTTTCTCGATTGTTGAATGAAATGGTACCTTCGTTGGCGATCATGATCTGCCGACTCAAAGCAAGACCTACACCACTGCCATTTTTTCGAGTGGTAAAAAAGGGTACAAAAATCTTCACCGCGACATCTGCAGCAATACCCTGGCCATTATCTAAAACCTCGATGGTCACTTGCCCGCTTTGACTGAGAGTGCCTCGCAGCTCAACTTTGGGTTGGTCAACGTGCTCAACTGCATACAGGGCATTCTGTGCCAGATTGATCAGCACCTGTTCGATCATCTGTCGGTCCGCATACAATTCCAGACTCTGGGGTGTAACGCTGATCAGAATTTCAACATCCTGGTCCGAGCCTTGCGCAAGCACAATACGCCTCACATCGGTCAACAGATCGTCTACGGGGAATCTGCTTTTGTTCGGCTCTGGCAGGCGGGTCAGGCGGCGGTAGCTTGAAACAAAGTTCATCAGTCCATCTGCGCGTCTCGCCACCGTATTCACAGCATCTTTGACATCTGTTAACTCTGCAATCAATTCGTCATTGGCCACCTTATGACTCACATCATCTACCAGATCAACAGCGGTTCTGGCCAGCGACGACACGGGGGTGATGGAATTCATTATTTCATGGGTCAATACTCTCACTAGATCCTGCCAGGCTTGTAGCTGGGTCACATCCAATTCACTTTGGATATTCTGCAAACTCAGGAGCTGCAATGTTTGTGTTGGCATCGCAATTTCGCTGGTACCGATGCTGAAGGTCTGGTCATGCCCATCGAAGTTCAGAGTCAGCAACATCCGCGACCCAGGCTCCGCAAGCAGTATGCGTTCCGGAATGTCTTTGCCGAAGCGGTTCAGGTCTTCTACCTGGGTTAGATTAAATCGACCGAATAAACGACGTGCCGCATTGTTCCATAAGGTCAACTGGTTATCGCGGCCAACGGACAGCAACGGTACCGGCACATGTTCAAGCATCGCCTTCAATTGACGCACCTCGGTCTCGTTCTGGCTACGGTCTTCACGAAAGCGATCCAGAATGAAAGTAAAGGTGTCACCAAGCTCTGTAAAACCCGCACCTAGACCAACAAATTCGAAACGCTGACCAAAGTCAGCATAGCGCGCCGCGTCCAGAAACCGTGCAATCTCACGATTTGTTTTGGCAATAAATTTGTACAACTCCAAAGACAGCGCAACAGCACTAACCAGTACTAACAGCATTACTACGGGGTAATCAGGTGTCACGAGCAGAAAGCCTGCGACACTCAGAGTGATCAGAATGATGAACATGCGTAAGCCAATCGCCAGTCCGAATCGACTAAAGCCCATGCTTTTCCATCCTTCGATATAAAGCGGCGCGGGTCAAACCCAGGTCTTTTGCCGCATGTGAAATGTTATAACGGTTGCGGGTAAGCGCAGCCTGAACTGCTTTTCGTTCGAGCGCTTCCAGATTAAGGTCATTGTTTAATACGGAGGCGTCTGACGACAGGTTTTCCAGCCGATCACTTTTCACCCTGGTGCGCTCTATCTGGGGTAAGCTGAAATCTTCAGGCACAAACTCATCAGCCTCAGACAGAATTACCGCTCGCTCCAAAGCGTGTCGCAAAGCACGCACATTGCCAGGCCAGTCATACTCTGTCAGCGCAGCCAGTGCCGCGGACGAAAATCGCTTGCTTTGCCTGCCATATTTACGGGTATACAGGTCCGCGTAGTAAACAGCGATTGCCGATATGTCTTCACGACGTTCTCGCAGGGGCGGCATAATAATTTCAACTGTATTCAGGCGAAAGAGGAGGTCCTGACGAAAGCGCTGTTCATCGGTGAGTTGTTCACGCGGTACGTTCGTTGCGGCAATGATCCTGATATCGATATCTACCGGTTTACTAGCCCCCACCGGTACTACCTGCTTCTGCTCCAATACCGACAGCAGCTTGGCCTGCAAGTGCAAAGGCAAATTACCAATTTCGTCCAGAAACAAGGTGCCGCCACGGGCCGCTTGTAAGCGGCCGATCCGATCAGATTTAGCATCGGTAAAAGAGCCTTTAACATGTCCAAACAGCTCAGATTCAAACAAGGTTTCAGAAATAGCGCCCAAATCGACGGTCACAAACACGTGCTCACGTCTCGCTGATTGGTTGTGTAATGCGCGAGCGGCGAGCTCTTTACCCGTACCATTTTCACCAAGAATAAGGACATTGGCCTGAGTGGGCGCGGTACGCTCGATCAGATGTTGTACCTCCTGCATCGCGGTGGATTCGCCGAGCATCGGTTGCCGGGTGTTACTGGCCACTTCCATCAGGGCTGTATTAGTTTTTTTCAGAGCGCTCGCTTCTCGGCGCGAGCGGTGTAATTTGACGCTGGCGGACAAAGTGGCAACAAGCTTCTCGTTCTGCCAAGGCTTGGCGATAAAGTCGGTAGCACCAATTTTCATGGCTTCAACCGCCATATCCATATCTCCGTGCGCGGTAATTAACACCACCACCGCATCAGGATTAAGTAGCAGAATTTTCTGCAGCCACGCAAGACCTGCTGCGCCGCTGGACTCGCCAGGCCCAAAGTTCATATCGAGCAGGATGGCTGCATAATCTGTTGCCGCAATAAGCTCAGGGATAAGCTCTGGATCCGCACAAGTATCCACGCGCGCGTAGTGACGCTGTAGCAGGAGTTTGCCAGCGGTCAAAATATCTTCATCGTCATCAACTATGAGGAGCGTACTGTCATCTCTCACGTAAGCGGTGCCTCAGAATGCAGTGTTCAACATCGTACACCAGAGTGTCCGATATCGAACAGAATTTCATTCTCGTTTCACTGACAAGAAAATTAATCCTTATAAAACAATACGATACATATTGGCACGACCCTTGCTCTACTGAGTCTCAACAACACTTGGTAATTAAACGACCATGCGCGCAGTGGACACAGACAAAAACTTCTCCGGTGGCATAAACACCACACCGAATAAGTCCGGTGCAGCTATGGACCGCACCATAGAGAAAAAGAAACTCCCTTTAAAAGCTCTGACGGTTGTTGGCGTGCTGCTTCTTGTCGCTGTGCTAATCGGGTTGTACCTGTGGGACCAGGCCAATGCGCGTTCATTTGTTATTGAGAACTCTCGCGTGGTGGTATCGCCCGTAGTAAGAGGAACATTTGACGACTTCATCCCTATCCGCGGTCGAGTGACACCGCGTAAAACGGTTTATCTTGACGTTATCGAAGGGGGTCAGGTCGAACAGCGCCTGGTAGATGATGGCGCTATCGTTAAAGCTGGCGACCTGCTGGTAACACTCAACAACACCTCCCTGCAGCTTGACGTGACGCGCAACGAAGCCATGGTCACCGAGCAGTTGAACAATATGCGCACCATTGAGTTGCAGCTTGAACAAAATCGTTTGCAGCACAAACGAAATCTGGTGGAAATAAACTATCAGATTAAGCGCTTAATGCGCCAAATCGAAAGGTTGTCGAGTCTCGACAATGCAGGCCTTGCGATCAAGAGCCAGTTAGAAGATGCCGAAGATGAGTTAGCCTATTTCATAGAACGACGGGAGGTAACCCGCGAGAGCCAGAGTACAGATGCACGTATGCAGGAAACCCAACTTGAATTCCTGCAGAAATCCAGCGCTCAGATGGAAGGGAACTTATCCCTTTCACGCAAGAATCTGGACGCTCTGAATGTTCGCGCTCCGGTGGACGGGAAATTGTCGGGGCTGGACGTTGAGGTTGGCCAGAGTATCCAGCGTGGAGGTCGCCTTGGACAGATCGACGATCCGGAGAGTTTTAAACTACGTGTCGAAGTGGACGAGTTTTATCTTAACCGCGTGGACATAGGGCAACCCGCTCGATTCGAACATGGCGGCAAGCCCTTCACATTAACTGTCAGCAAGATTTATCCCCAGGTCATCAACGGCCAGTTTGAACTCGACCTGCTGTTTGACGATGAGGAGCCCGAGGACATACGCCGTGGCCAAACCCTGCAGGCAACGCTGACGCTGGGAGATTCGACGACGGCATTGATCATTCCGAACGGCGCTTTTTTCCAGGACACCGGTGGCAACTGGATGTTTGTTGTTGACCCAAGTGGCAATCAGGCCATTCGCCGCAGCGTCAGACTCGGACGACGTAATTCTAAACACATTGAAGTGCTCGAAGGTTTGGAGCCAGACGAATTGGTAATCACAAGCCCCTATTCAAGCTTTAAAGAAATGGATCGCCTGACCCTTACCGAAGACTAATCAACACACGCAATTGGAAACACACATGCTTAAATTACACGACCTTTCGAAACTGTATCGTACGGACGAAGTAGAAACGGTGGCGCTGAATTCGGTGAACGTTGAAATTACCGCAGGTGAGTTTGTCGCCGTAATGGGGCCGTCAGGTTGTGGTAAGTCTACGCTGCTAAACATTATCGGTATGCTGGACTCGCCTACCTCCGGTAATTACTGGTTTCGCGACGAAGACGTTGCAGGCTACTCCGAAGCCAAACTTGCCGACATACGCAAACATAACATCGGCTTCATATTTCAATCATTCAACCTCATTGATGAATTGTCGGTTGCAGAAAATATTGAACTCGCGCTGCTGTATCACAATATTCCGGGCAGCGAACGCCGCGACCGGGTCGCTCAGATTATGGATAAAGTGGGTATTGCGCATCGCGCCAGGCACATGCCCAGCCAGCTTTCTGGCGGCCAGCAGCAGCGTGTCGCAGTTGCACGGGCCATTGTCGGCAATCAAAGTTTGATTCTCGCTGATGAGCCCACTGGCAACCTGGACAGTGTGCATGGCCAGGAAGTCATGGAAATGTTGCAGGGGCTCAACGAAGAAGGCACCACAATTGTCATGGTGACTCATAGTTCAAGCCATGCAGATTACGCGCGGCGTAGCATTAACCTATTCGACGGCCATGTGGTCACAGAAAACCTGCGTGCGGCGGTGTAACCATGATTAAGAATTACTTTTTAATAGCCTGGCGCCAACTGCAGAAAAACAAGTTATACGCATCGATAAATGTGATCGGACTTGTGGTTGGACTTGTTGTCTATCTGTTCGGATCGCTGCTGGTCAGCTACGAGCGAAGCCATGATCTGTTTTTTGCCAATGCGGATCGAATCTACACTGCTGGCTCTCTGTTCGGGCCGACGGCCAATGTCGGCGTGGGTGAAACTGATGGTATTTATACGGCCTTTGCGCCGCTGATAGATGCCGAAATCGAAGAGGTAGAGGAAATTGCCCGCACCGTGGGTGTCGAGTTTCTACTGTCCAACGAAGACAACCATTTTTATCAATACATTCGTTTTGTCGACCCTGCTTTTCTGAAGATTTTCGATTTTGATTACATTGAAGGCAATGCCAGTGCGCTTGAAGATCCTTCTGGTGTCATGTTAACCAGAACTATTGCTGAGAAATATTTTGGCAATGAGTCGGCGTACGGCAAAGTGCTTACCCTGGATCACGGCGTCAGCCTGCGCGTGACTGCGGTTATCGAAGAGCTTCCCGTCAACTCCCATTTCGGCTCTTCCGTGATGAGTAATGGCAGCATCGAAGTTGTGGCCCCGTTGCAGGCCCTGAACAGGGCTAACGACTATGATCTGGCAGGAAATTTCAATAATCTCTCGACCGGTGATTTCACCTATATGCTGCTGGCGCCTGGCAAAGATCGCAGCTGGCTGCAGCAAAGTTTGGATGGTGTCTATGATCGGCACTATCCGGAAGATATGCGAGAGTTTGTGGTTGGGGTCAATGTAAGGCCATTGGTAGAAGCAAACACAATTTTATGGGACGCCGTCGGCTTACCAGTGCTGGACTCCATTCGCCTGCTCGGCTTCCTGGTCCTGGTTGTTGCTATTGTCAATTACACCAATCTGGCCACCGCGCAATCTCTGGGTCGCAGCCGGGAAATTGGCCTGCGTAAAACGATGGGTGCTGCCGTTAGCCAACTGGTCACGCAATTTTTAGTGGAAAGCTTGTGCGTTGCCACTATTGCTATGGTGATTGCCATTGCTGCACTTGAGATTATCGTGCCGGTGATGAACACCACACTGGATAAGGGGCTGCAGCTCGAATACTGGCAAATGGTGCCATGGCTGATCGCAACAACACTTGGGGTCGGCTTGATTGCTGGCGCCTATCCTGCCTATCTCATCACTCGCGCAGCGCCAATCGAGGCATTACGGGACGGCAGCAAACGTGGCGCCAAAGGCAGCCGTTTTCGCACCAGCATGCTGGTCCTGCAGTTTTCAATTTCCATTTTCATGATGGCAATGGTTCTGGTGATGTACCTGCAGAACAACAAGCTGGAATCTTCGAGTAACATCTATCCTAAGTCCCAAATTATTACATTGAACCGGCTGGATGTTGATTCTATCCAGTCCCGCTTGGAAACACTGCGCAACGAATTGCTGAATATCCCCGGCGTCGAGAACGTCGCCTATTCCAGTCAGCTGCCATATCAACAAAGCAATTCGTCTTTCAATGTGAGTGCTGTGGCCGGAGACGAAGACCAATCCATGCAGCTCACCCAGGTAATTGTGGATGAACGCTTTATGGACACTTACAACATCCCGCTGTTGGCTGGCCGGGCACTGTCCAAGACCTATAGTGCGGATACCATCGTGGAGGGTAGTGTGGTAGCCAACGTGATCATCAATGAGTTGGCGGCTAGACAATTGGGTTTTGGTGCGCCCCAGGAAGCAGTGGGTCAGGTGTTTTATGATTTTTCAGATTCTCGAGCTGAGCGCGCTTACACGGTTGTAGGTGTCTCGCCAGATCAGAACTTCCAGGGGTTCCATAACCAGATCAAACCTACGGTCTTCTTCATCATCCCCACTGTTTTTCGTTATGGCTCCATTCGAGTAGATGGCGTAGGTCTGGCGGATACTTTGCGGTCGGTTGAAGCGGTTTGGGAAAATCTGATACAAGACTATCCGATACAAGGCGAATATCTTGAAGACGAATTCCAGGAATCGTTCGAGATCTACACGAGTTTGTCTTCAGTGTTAGGCGGCTTCGCGTTTATTGCCATGTCACTCAGCATGATCGGCTTGTTTGGCCTTGCTGCATTTATGGCGGAGACACGAACTAAAGAAATTGGGGTACGTAAAGTTATGGGTGCGAGCACAGGACAAATTGCACGCCTGCTGGTGTGGCAATTTTCCAAACCCGTTATGTGGGCGCTCTTGTTAGCACTACCCGCAGCCTACTTCGCATCGGGCGAGTTCTTACGCTTCTTTGCCGACCGCATAGCATTTCCTGAGGTAATAGTTCTAGGCGCAGGCGTGGTGGCGGTGTTATTTGCATGGCTTATCGTTGGTATTCATGCTTTGCGGATTGCAAGGTCCAACCCCATTAAGGCGCTACGTTACGAATGATAAAGCGGGTTTAGTAGTATTCCGCGTTACGCGGCGTGTATAAACTAGGGCAGGCATTTTC